AAAGAACATATTTTCGCTGTTTCATTCAGCGTTATTTGTTTGGAAATTATTAGGAAAGCAGAACAGAAACGCTGGCCATGACCAAAACTCTCTATAGCCTGCCTAGGAGGAGCTACTGGGAACCGCAGTTAAGCAAGCGGGACTTCTTGAAAGGGAGCCAAGTTTAGAGTTATCAGGTAGAAATTTCTCACCGCGTCATCAGCTTTGTCCATAAATAGGTGTACTTCAGAAGGAGTTACCAAAACATATGAATAAGCCAATGGATTGTACTTGATATCAAATCCTCTAATATTGAGTAACCCTGAAAAAGAAAAATCTGACCCTGATGATGTTTGATCCTCGATTTTCACGAAACACGTAATCTCCACTCACACATAATATCGTCAAGCGCTGAAAGAATTATAGAATCGCATTTCTTTTGAGCAATTCGTTTGCGTAAATCCGTCAGTTTGTCCTTCACAGGACACCCGTGCTCCTCTGGTGTCAATATAATAGGCTAAATAGATAAATATTAAGATATGTAATAGACAAATAGTAGAACTTGTAAATAAACAATAAATAGGCCAGAGGCAAACACGGTGCACGTAAGCGATTCTTTGAAACCACTGAACACTACTTTGGGTTACGACTGCTCAACGATTTTCCCGATCTCCGTCATCCAGTGGCCTCTAGAGTCCCAACCGTGACTTAGAAGTCTGCTGCCTGTGAGGATCCATTCAAAGCAGAATAAAACACTTACGCCTTTGGATTGAAGTGGTGGTCGATCATTCCAGAACTCGTCCACCAGGTTCCCTCTGATCGATGCTACTGAGATTCCCATACTTCTTAGTTTTCTTACAAGTTTTTCACCACTCTCTGAAAAAATATGCCATATATAGTACGAAGCCAATTCCAATGCTTTTTTCATCTGAAAAAATCGCTGCAGGATGTTAAGTAGATTACCGTAAGCATAAAGTGAAGGGTCGATTCCTATCCAATCGCCATCATTCAGATTAGCCAAAATAAAGTCTTCAACAGTAACAGAATCGGATTGGCCTTGTTTCATAAGAGTGAAAGGTGGGACCAGCTGCTCCACGGCCTAATTATAAACTTTTTAGCTTAAATAAGTCAAAAAACAGGTGAACTTTTGTTTCAAAGATGAAATTTTTAAACGATAGACGCTCCAGCCTGTATAGGTTGGTAGCGCAAAGGAAAAGAGGTAGTAAACCGCTTGTGCAGCCTGTGTGATCGAACCCCACCGAGGTCAGTCAAGCTTTTATCCTGATAGTACACACTTTCCGTATCGCTCCAGAAGCTCCGCCCACTGCGAAAAAGCACGCCCCACAAACTTTACTCGATACATAGCATGAGCCTAACTTATGGTGATCACTCACTACCCGAGAACGTCACTGAACAGGCATCAGTTCATCGCTCCAGACGGCCCGTAGGGAATGATATTCAGACCTCCTGAAGTATAAACAAGACTACCGATTACTCTTTTTGCATAGTGATCATTCACCTGGATAAAATATCGTCCATCCGTCCACAAGACCGCTTTATCGTTGGTCACAGCTACATAGGCACTCGAACCAGTGAAGCCAGTAAGAAACTTCACACGAAAGTCGTGATCAGCCAGATATTCGCTCTGAATGAAAATCGATTTCTGGT